GGTTGCAGCCATCATTGTTGTTTGGCGGGCCCGGGCTGGGGATTTGAACCCGCCACCTTAGGTATATGTGGCTGGCGCCTTAGCCGCTTGAGCCACAGGCGCCGAGCCTGATTTATTTTTTTATCATCAATAGTCACAGTGTTAGACAGTGTTTCCTTTTTATTACAGTGTTTCCAACAGGGTGTTATAGGCACTTAGGTGGACAGTTCATCGTGCATCACTGTTCTGAGAACTGCACACTTAGTATCTCTAGACCCTACCTTATTAAATGTAGTGCTGGTCTCCAGTCATTATGACAACCTTCCCCTACATTTCTAAACGGCCTCCCCTCCCACTTGAGAATCACTACTTTAAATAGAAGAGTTGATATAATATAAAATGTAAATTCAGCTTGAAAATTGACATTCCATTTGCATTTGATAGAGTCCGCTAAAATTCCATTAAATCCTCAGATTTGTAAGTACAGAGTATATGCAAAACATTATAAAAACAAAAGAAAGCAGCGAAGCAGATAAGAACATATACCTCTTAGCAACATCACTGGGTCTCTCTCCTGCTTTGTTGGTAATGTTACTATCTGCTCCCATTTTAATTAACCACTGCAAACACTCTATGTGGCCTTGCCCAGCCGCTGTTAAAAGAAAAAAAAAAGGAAATGAACACATACACAAAAGGAAATATACAAAATATACACACACAAAAATTATTTGTAACAATTTTCTAAAAATTTGGACAGTACCATTATAGACTACTGTCTTAATACTGATCCTTGTAGTAACTAATAAAAGTAGGTTGGGCAGTTGTTACTTTATTTTATGTATTCATTCATTAGACATTTAATCAAATATCTAGTGCTTATCTCCTGCTATAAACAGATCTTAACAAATCTTGTCTCATATTAGAATGTGAGCACATTCCAACCATAGGGACCTACAAAAAGTTTGAAAATATTTCTCCTCCATCATACATATATGTATATCTATTCCTCTGACTCTCATAACTCAAAAAAAATTTTTTTGAGACAGAGTCTCGTTATGTCACCCTCAGTAGAGTGCTATGGCATCACAGCTCACAGCAACCTCAAACTCTTGGGCTTAAGCAGTTCTCTTGCCTCAGCCTCCTGAGTAGCTAGGACTACAGTCACCGGCCACAATGACTGGCTATTTTTTTTTTTTGTAGTTGTTGTTTAGCAGACCCGAGCCAGGCTCGAACCCATCACCCCCAGTGTTTGTGGCTGGCGCCGTAAAAGAGCTACATGCACTGAGCCTCACAACTCAAAATTTATAGCTTTTTAACCTGCATTTAACCCACTGTTTACAACCTTTGTCTAAATCTTGTACTCAAAACACATGCACTGTATATTCATTTTCACCTCCACATCTTGCTTATGTGTCTTTCCACCTAAAGCCTATCACTTACCTATGTGATTTAACTACAATGAAACACTATAAAAGGATTTTTTTACCTATGACTATTATTTAATATCAATTAGGATACATTAATTTGATCAATGTTTCATAAGAGAGTAAGATAAAATGAAGCCATGGTTAGAAATTTTTAAGCAATGATTGAAATAATTATGGTTAAAGAGCAAGTGAAAGAAAGGGGAAGTCATAATGGATTTAAACAATTATTAAATGACTAAGAAGAATGCCTCATTAATAGATACTGAGGCTTATCTACTGAATCAAAACTAAAATGAAAGGAAAAACAAGCAGATAGACAAAATGTAGGAAACATGAACTGAACTGTAAGGAGATATTAACTTTTATATGCCAAACTAGGATACAATCTAAACATACACATGGTCCCCAAGAAGGCTTAACGTCCTCAAGTGTGCCTTTTGCAGCTGTAGCCACTTACCACGCTTCTACCACACTATCGGTACCACCCCAGCCCTGTGAGTCCTTGACAAATTCATAAGCTCCTAGCTACTCCTCACTCTCACCATCCCACCCTCTGGCAATGGCTACGTTCCAAACACCCTGCTGTAGATGAATGTTCTTAGACTCAGCTTCCAGGACCCTTATTTCTATCCTAGTTCAAATAGTGAAGAAATTACTGAGATAAGCTGAAAACTAGCCATCAATGACAGCTTAACTCACTGTCCCCATAAAGATGCACTATGAGCACCATGAGTGAGCCTCACCACACAAATACATTAACATTATCTAATAGGTTATATCTAGGATATAAAAAGGGAACTATAAATGATTATGCTATGGTGTGAACTGTGTCCCCCTCAAAATTCTTATGTTGATGTCTTAACCGCTGGTACCTCAGAATGTGACAGTATTTGGAGACAGGGTCTTTAAATAGGTTATTAAAACGAGATCATATTGGTGGGCCCTAATCAAATCTACTGATGCCCTTGTAAGAAGAGGTGCCACAGAGGAAAAACTCACAAGCACAGCAAGAAGCCAAGGAGAGAAGGCTCAAAAGAAATCAAAGCTGCCAATAACATAATCTCAGATTTCTAACTTCCACAACTATGACACAATAAATTTCTGTTGTTTAAGCCACCCCGTCTGTAGTGTTTTGCTATGTCAGCCCTAGTAAACTAATATAGGAACTTTGTTCCAAATAACCACATTTTTTAAAAAAAAAACGTTATTTTTGTAAACATGTTAAGCCTCCCCCTCATTCACAAATCTGCAGTGAACCACTTAACCCAACCTCTGAATGGCAGGAAGAGATGAGTAGACTGAAATCTATCAATTTCTATAGACTAAAATCTTATCTATTCAACTCTAGGGCAGAGAACTCACCAATCTGAAGACTATATGTAGAAGAAAATTTCCTTTGCATTCCCCCCTACCTACTCAACACTTCCCATAAAATTATTGATACACATGGTGTTTAGATTTTATACTTCGAGATACATTATGGGTTAAGCAAAGATTAAAAACCTAACCAATGGAAACATAATATATAATCTGAGGTCTGTCAGAAGTTATTTATGAAATAAAACCCAACTCAATGATTGTATTAATAAGCATACTATCTTTTTGCTCTTAAGAGTTTTATAAAAATCACCTGACATCAGATCATGAAGAAATCTTTAACATTATGTCACAAATAAGTAGGATGTAAATTTCAGGCACAGGAGGTTAAAGATTGTTTTTTACTTTTTTTTTTTTGAGACAGAGCCTCAAGCTGTCCCCTGGGTAGAGTGCCATGGCTTCACTGCTCACAGCAACCTCCAACTCCTGGGCTCAAGCAAGTCTCCTGCCTCAGCCTCCCAAGTAGCGGGGACCACAGGCCCCCACCACAACACCTGGCTATTTTTTGGTTGCAGCCATTATTGTTGTTTGGCAGGCGCAGGCTGGATTCGAACCCGCCACCTTGGGTGTATGTGGCTGGCACCTTAGCCACTTGAGCCACAGGTGCTGAGCCTGTTTTTTACTTTTATAAATAAGAAGAGTGGAAAATAGCTCCTAGACTCCTAACACTGGGTCAACAATGTGACAAAGTCTAATTAAAACCCAAAAACTCTGATCAATATTACAGAATTCCACATGGAAGAAAGAGTACAGAGAAAAGTGGCAAACATCTTGAAAATATGCTCAAATATAATAATGTTCATTGATATTTATACCAAAGTAAAAACATTTTTGTAGAATAGGAGATCTAAAGAAGAAAATTCTGCTATAACTTTATCCAAGAGATATACTTTCTATGTTATCATGAGTTAATAAGTCATTCTAAAATTTTATCCAAAAAACTTCTCTGACAGTACATTTCATATCTTTACTAGTATAACAATTCTCAAGAGACGTTCTATTGGAACAACCCTCAAATGTGAATATTTGGCATTGTAAAAGAACATTATACTTTAATTGAAAGTAAGGCATTGTCAAATATTCCACACAATATAAACCAAGACCAGCAGCAGAAAAAACTTGTATGTTTTTCTTTCCACTAGACCAGCAGCAGAAAAAATTTTTATGTTTTCATGTGTTTCTGATTGATAATTACTTTAAAACAGAACAACTCAGCAACAAATGCATGAAAGAAGAATTTGTAATAACTCACCTTTATGCATAGGAGTTGATCCATTATCAGCACGCTCATTAATATTGATTACTCCATCTTCTACTAATTTCTTAAGCATTTCCAAATCACCCTTAAAGGCAGCAACATGACCTGGAAATGCTAAAGCTAGGAATAAAAAATTCAGAAATCCAATGAACACATGAGTTTATTCTTTTCCCTGTCTTGAATTATCATATTTTATTTAGGTTTCAACACTATCTTAATTATGAGACTTTTATATTAGATTGACTTCAGTTGCTGCAATGCCAATTAATAAAAAGAGAATTATAAAATAAGATTATTACTAATTGTGCCACCATTCCTCCTCTCAAGAATTAAAACATATCAGAAGTATTGCACTAGAACTATTCTACGCTGCTCTCTTTTCTCCCTCATGCCACCACAAAACACAAAGAGACAGTCATTTTCAAACCTTTGTATGAAGACACAATTGGTCTCAAGGCCTGCATTTGCACAGACCACTTCCTCTCTGCTTCCAAGGAAGCAAAGAAAGCAAAACAGACTAGAAACAGATGAGAAGTGTGTGCACCATATACAGTCATTCCTTAGTATCCTCAGGAGATTGGTTTTAGAACCTCCTCAGATACCAAAATCTACCAATGTTAAAGTCCCTTATATAAAATGGCATATCTGCATATAACCTATGTACATCCTCCAGTACACTTTAAATCATAGCTAGGTTATTTATAATACCTAATACAATGTAAATAGTTGTTACAATTTATTGGGTTTTGTATTTTTTTATTGTTGTATTGTTGTTTTTTCCTAAATATTTTCAACACATGGTTGGTCATATCTGTGGGTGAAAAATCTATAGCTATGCAGAGCCAGCCATGTCTATAGAAACATAGACACACATACACATACACACAAGTACCTAACCTGGTGCCTAGCACAAATGCTTGATATAATGTCTCTAGTGATAGTAACTACATACCAGTATATTCAACCCCTACTAAATGCCAAACATAGTACTAAGCACTTTTAAGTGCTGCCATATCTAACCCTTAACAAATCTGAGATATAGCTATTCTCATTTGTATATAAGGAAAGAAACAACCTAGAATAGCCAAAGAATATTTTTAAAAGAACAAAGTTGGAAGACTTACACTATCTTGAGGTTAAGACCTATTGTAAAGCTACAGTAATCAGGGTGGTAATGGTAAACAAATAAGACATATAGATCAGGCTGGGCACAGTGGATCACACCTGTAATCCCAGCACTCTGGGAGGAAGAAATGGGTAGATTTCTTGAGCTCAGGAGTTTGAGACTAGCCTGAGCAAGAGCAGTCCCCATCTCCACTAAAAATAGAAAAACTGAGGCAAGAGGATCACTTGAGCCCAAGAGTTTGAGGTTGCTGTGAGCTATGTGAGCTATGCCCCAGCACTCTACCCAGGGCGACAGAGTGAGATTCTATCTCAAAAAAAAAAAAGGCAAAAAGGACATATAGATCAATAAAACAGCAATAATAGAGCCACACATTTGTGGCAAATAAATGGTTTTTGCCGAATGTACCACATTTCAATCAGTAAGGGAGTATCTTTCCAAAAAATGATGCTAGAACAAATGGCTAGAAAAAATATAACTTATTTCATTCCATACATAAAACTTAACTTGATATAGATCAAAGATCTAAATGAAAAAGCTTAAATTATAAGATTTCCAGAACAAAACATAGGAGAATATCTTGCTGAACTTGGGATAGACAAGTAATTCATAGCTAGGACTAAAAAACATTACCCATAAAAAACTGATAAATTATACTTAACCAAACTTTAGCACTTTTGCTGTTTTTAAGGCACTATAAATAAAACTAAAAGACAAGTTTATGAATAAGAGAAAATATTAGCAATGCATATATCTTATGTTCAGAATACATAAGGAACTTTTAAAACACAATAATAAGCAAAGAAGCAATCTAATTTTAAAATGGGCAAAAGAACCTAACAGACACTTCACTTCATAAGAGATATATGATCAGCCAATAAGTATATAAAAAGATGTTTAACATGATTAGCTATCAAAGAAACATAAATTAAAACCATAAGATAATATACTACACACCCAGTAGAATGGCTAAAATAAAAGACACTGATCACAACGATGTGGAGCAAATGGAATTTTCATATATTTCTGGAGAGGGATGTAAAAGGATACAACTACTCTGAAAAACATCTGACAAATGCTTAAATACACTGCCATACCATAAGTTCCACTTCTATGTATTTACCAAGAAAAGTGTAAATACTTCCACATACATGTTCTTAGCCACATTATTAATGATAGCTAAAACTGAAAACAATCCAAATGCTCATAACAAGCCAACATAAACAAAATGTGGTACATCCATACAATGAAATACTACTTGGCAATAAAAAGAAATGAACTACCAATAAAGACAACATGGATGAAGCTCAAAATTACTCAATATATATATATACTAGTAAATACAAACTAACCTATTTTGACAGCAGATCAACAATTGCATGGAGCCAAGGTAAAAGGAGGGATAAACTGCAAGAAGTAAGAAAAAACCTTTGGGGGCTCAATAACTAAGAGAATCACATGAAGGTTATGTTAACCAGTTTGATGAGAGTATTTCAAAATGTATATGAAAACAGCACACTGTACCCCATGATTGCATTAATGTACATAGTTATGCTATAAG